ATACTTAATGAGCTCGTGAATAACATCATTTTATTGTAAATTTTCCCTTCATTATTTCGAAAGCAAGTTAGAAAGTCTTCTGATTTTTCCCACTAGTATTAGTTGAATCGAAAATAGTATTTTGCTTGTTTGCAACAGATTGAGAACTTGCCTGATATCCACAGTTTGTCGCCTCTGGATCTTCTGGAGCAACTCCCGCAAAGCAAAACACGAAAATCGCTAATTGTGCAAGCATTGAGCCAATTAGAGGCTTCATTTTCTCCAATGGAATAATAAATAAGTTCTCCGATATTAAGCAACAGCAGGTTTTTAAAAGACTATCGTTTAAGTGCCAACATTTTCCCGATATCGATTATATTATTCTCCGTTCTGGTATCTCGATGGCGGATTTTGATTGTCTGAAGTAGAAGTTTTTTGATAAAACTCAAGTGATTTTAATTGGTTGCCATCCTGTATGAGTTCGGAATGAAACACTCGTCAGAGTTCGTATTTTTTGCAGATTAAAAAAACCCAAACCGCAAAACGCCTTTATTCCAGATCAGTTGTAAAACATCTAATAGGAAACTTTTAGGATGAAAGTCCTAATCTGCATCGGCTCTAGTATAACGATGAAATCGTCGTCTTCCTGCACGATTTTGCGGCTTTTAGCGTCCGCAACATTGAATCGAATCCTGTTGTTGTCCTGCAGGTACTGATTTGCTCCCAAAGTGGTTTCCCTCAAACTGAGCACCTTGAACGAGGTGAATAAGTCCTGGAAAGTTGTTAGAATCAAATGGCCGTTTTTTTCTGGAACTTTGGGCTTCGCCCTGTACATACCTGCAGGTTCACCAACCCGATATCAGAGTGGTCTTCATCCTCTTGTCCGAAGAAGTTTTCCAGTCGCAGGAGCACTGTTGAATCTCCCCAAGGCTCCAAAGTGAGCAAATGGACGTTTCTGGGCAAAGCCTCGCTGTTTATCGCAGAAAACTGCAAACGCAGCATGAAGTGCCAGCTAATGATATTTCTGCGCTCACCTGCAGGAGATGACTTTCTTGGTACTCCTCAAACGAGGCCCCATTGGGGGAGGAGAAAAATATCCACGCATCCAAAGCGATTTGCTGCGAGATCTCCTTTGGGGTTAAGTCATCGGCAGAGGCGTAAACTGCAACTCATTCATTTTTACTTGTTCAACCCAAAATATCAATAGTTGACCAACCAGAACCAGTTGGTATCAGCAAATGGGATCCTCTGGTGACCACTCCGACTCCAAAAGCTTCTTCATTCAGAGCTTCCCCAACGCCTTGGCCATCTTTCTTGGTATTTCGGTGAATCTGTAGCAAAGTCGTGACTTCCTCAATAACTTATTCTGATTTGTTTTCCTGACTGCGTGTACTTGTTACGTTATATTACGTTTCGGCGAGACAACAGCGCCATCATCAGATTTAAAATTCACACAAACTCATAATTGGTAAACATTCTTTTAGGTCTTTGCAGTCCTGCAAGACCTAAAAGAATGTTTACCAATTATGAGTTTGTGTGAATTTTAAATCTGATGATG